CCCCTGTGGGAAACAAACATATATGCCCTTACCGGAAGTGCAGGGCAGACCTGTGCCAATACACTGCCCACAAGGGCCCCCCTAAGCCCATATCCTTGTCTGTACACAAGAGAAGGGGAGCCTACGATGACAGATGCTGTTCAGAAGCTTCCAGGGCTAGCGCTGGTTTGAAAGCCTGTGACATCTGCTGCTGTTTTCAGAAGACAGCATTTCTCCTTCAAATGTACTATGGAGAACATCTCTCAGGTCTCACTTTGACCAGTTGTGCTATTAAGTATTGAAAGTTCTCAGAAGTTAGGTATTTCTGAGGAAGTAATTGTTAAACCTTCTTTCATCTCAATTTTTTTTATTGTTGGATTTTTTAGTCACTGTCAATCATTTCTGACAGGACAGTGTATCGCCTTAAGAAAATAAAAGTAGTATGTTACAAGAAAATCAAGTGTCAAAGAAGATTAAGAGTTAAGAGTGCTTGTCCAACACATCAGCTTCCCTAGGCAACTGAATAAACGAAATAAAAAAAAAATGCAAGCTATAAAGCATTCATTAAATTAAAAAAAAGCCAGAATGTCATTAGTTAAAAATACTATATTGTATTTGGAATCACAAGTTTCTATAATCAGGCACCACATTTGCTGATTCATATGCCTTTTTGGCTTGATTTCCCCCATCCCCATTTTTCTATAAGCAAAAACAAATCAAAAGTAAAATCAATAAAGAAATGACTGTTATAGAAATGCAATTGGCCTACAAACACTTGGTTTTCTACCTCCTTCCTGGCTTTTGTACAGACTGAGATAACAAGTTTATTTTTCTTTTTTTCCAAACATTTTCCATTTTATTACTTTGCTTTCTGCTTTCATTCGCTATTATTATCCATGTCATTATCCTCCTCATCACCGTCATCATCATCGTCACCTTCTGACAAGTCAAGGTCACTGAACCCCAGGGCCATGTTGACCTTCTTCCCCTTTCTCTTAGAGGTGGTTTTAGAAGAATTCTGCTTGGCTTGCATGTTTATCTGCATCCCAGAATGCAGCACAGCTCCTGCTTTGTTCATGGAGAAGATATCCCCAAAGCCCATCAGCATCATGGCCTGCAGGCTTTGGTTCATGCCATGGCCCTCCCCGTTACTTGTGGCTGTGATCTGACATGACATCTCTGCACTGTTTGACTCCTCTGTCTTAGATTCAAAGTAAGACTCCTCAGACATTCTTGCAGCAAGAGGCAAGAGAAGCTATCACAAGGGGAGAAAGGACAGAAGTAAAAAGAGAAATTAGGATCAATGTAAACAAAGGAAAAAAGAAACCACAAAATTAGCAGGCACTGCACAGAAGGTACATGATTAGGGAAATAAATCAATCTAGGGAATTCTGGGAGGATTTATTTATTGGCACGTTTGGCTCCAGGAGATCTGCCATAATTTATAAATGACAGAATCAATCACAACCCAAAGTTTGCAAAGCACTGTCGTAAGCCAAATTTCAAATGGGGAAGAAGCTGCACATTTTAAGCCTTCATTTTGCTTAAAACAAAATAGTTTTTAGGATTTCTCTTAAGTTTTCCCAATTTCACATTCATCAGAGAAACATTAGTTAACATAGTATATTAAAAAAAGAAATTACATGGAGATGAAATCTCAAGAAAAAAAAATTAAGAAACCTTGAACTAAAGAAGAAAAGTTTAGAAGAAGCATGGAAACAGCTCAGCAGTCAATATAATTCTAAAAAAAAATGTGGGCCAATAATTGCCCTTTTAGCTAAATTAGGATCTGACTCTAAACCAAAAATGAGGCCAGAATTCACTTGTTTCCACTTATTATTTATTACAGCCAGATAAGATATACTAGTTATCCGATTTATGAAACAATTTACTTTTAAATATATTTTAGATTCTGTTTCTAATAGCTATGTTTTAAACAAGTACATAAATACATGTGAAAATTGGGAGGAAAGGAAATTATTGCTAATTTAGATAGTTACTTTTTTTTCCTTTATTCTCTACTATGCAAGTTTTCTTCTTTAGCATGATTTTATTTTTAGGAATTCTCCTTTTCATAGTGGATACAGATATTTATTTTTCTACCTTATGTAATTAAGTTGAACAGCCAACCTATTTCCATAAATGTTGGTCAGATTCATTTTGGGAATAAAACTGTTTGGCTCAGAAAAGTGTTACTGGTTCTTTTCTTGAGAAATAAGCAAATTAAGGCTTATATTTTTGGTGATGTTTAATTATGGGTAAATTTATGATAATGTACAAATATATCATTGTGGGATGACCTTTATCTTCTGGGTGTAAATATACTTTTGAGGGCCAATTTCCTAATTTTTAAATTAAAGTTGGAGCTGAGTTTTTAAAATATCCTACTCTATTTAAAAAATACTTCTGAGATTGTTAGTTCAAAAAGAATTTCATTGAATTCTTCTAGAGAAAACAATGCCTTTAGATCCTTTAACACTGAAAACAGGGTATTGTTTTCTTTGTAGTCAAATTTCCCAGCTTTGCAAATTTGTTTGCAATTGTTAGATGCTCTCGGGGAAATTCTTTGTTGCTTGTTTATTTCATTATCTCATGGATCCTTCCTCACATTATGTTAAGATCTTAATAAATGTCTCTCAAATAAACTTCTCCTCTTGAAAGAAATAACGTTTTTTTTATATCAAGCTACAATAATAATTATAAAATAAACACTGTTCATATATATGTACAGAGAATTCATCTTCCCAAATATCTTTAAGTAGTATTTTAATTTCAGGGAAGAAAATAGTGTCCTTCCTCAAAATAAATCCAATATACAATTTTAAAGGACATATGTCAATTTTAAACTTCTATAATTAAGATGAGGCTACCTATAGGAAACTTAAAACTCTGGCCACTTGCTTTTTAAAAGCTTTATTTTTTTATTCCTTCTCTCAGAAACCTCATTTACGGTCATCTAGAAACTGGTGTGAGGATTAAAGAAAATTCCTACTCATAAAGTACCTGAGCACAAACTTTCTTTCCATCAGAGACACCAGCTCTAAGCAGGAGAGACATTAAAGGTAGGTATGTAAATAAAGAAAACTTAGCGCTCACAAGTGAGAAAAGGGAAGGAAATCTCACTGCGATGGTGCTTCATGCTGGCCATTATTAGGCGGTAGCCCTCAGAGCAGCTCCTTTACAGAAAGTTTTCTGCAGTTAAAATGCAGCACAGAACCTACTGAGCACTCACGGTGTTTCATTCTTTATTACACAACCATGTTACTAATAGCAAGAACGTGTGCAAGGCAGCCCATAATTTCTTAGCAAAACGAATGCCAACAAACCAAAGAAAGGTTCCAAAGCATACTCTAAGAGGTGGTTTAAAGCTTGCTCTCACAACGCTACATTTACAGTCAAGCCATGCAATGCTTTATAGCAGAAGATGTCAATGTACTGGAAAAAAACAAACAGCTCAAGGAGATGGCGGATCTCTGCCTCTAACCCGCTCTCAGAGAAGCAGAGCCCCTTACAGGGCTGTCTGATCTGCCCGTTGGCATCAACTCAAACCAGAACAGGAAACTTCCCCCGACTGATTTCTTGGGAGCCCGGTGAACGTCACTGAACTTATAAAATACGGTACCTTTTTAATATCCACGATAGTCTGAATGTATAGCAATCCAGGTTTTACTTTGGGATTCCCTCAATTTTACTTTTCTGAAAAAGTGAAATCTGATAAGGAACATTTACCTTCACTGTATTTTTCCTCTTTTTGGATATCAGGTTGCTTTTCCACGTAAATGGGAAAAGGAGGCAAACTATTTTATTCTTTAGACGTTGGGAAATACTTTGCAATTGGGCATTGACTGCTTAAGGGAGATTAAGACTTTTAAAAATAGGAAAGCTTTTTGAAGATCATAAAGTGACGGGCATTTATGTATTTTTTTGGTATAATTGTCATAGCAACTATCAAGAATATAAAATATATAACAAATGTACTTTGAATCTTACCCTTACTTGTGATTTTAAAGTAGACAAATATGACCCATTAAAAACCTAAAAAAAACCAATGATAAATTTATACTTCATTTCAAAATGATAAATCATTTAAAATAGAAAAGAATGCTGAAATTTGATTAGATTTTATTTATTAAATATATTTTATTGATTTTTTTTTTTTACAGAGATGATGGAAGAGGGATAGAGTTGAAAACATCAATCATCTGCCTCCTGCACACTCCCTACTGGATATGTGCCCACAACTAAGATACATGCCCTAGACCGGAATCGAACCTAGGACCCTTCAGTCCACAGGTCGAAGCTCTATCCACTGAGTCAAACCAGTTAGGGCTGATTTGACTTTAATATAACATATCACTATATAAGCTCAAGGTAAGTGTGTAAATAGAAAAATCCGTAAAAAGAATTTTTATCGTCCTTGAATTATAAGGCTTGGAGTAAACAGAGATATTTCCTAGGTGTAATAAATATTGGAAATCTTCTACTGCCCATGATCATAATGCTAAATTGAGTCAGGAACATTAATGCTTGTCATTTATAAGTCATTAAATTATCTCTCTTTTAGAAGAAAAACTTGGTGAGGTTCTGACACATCAAAGACTTTCTTAGACAACTGGCTGCCTTGGCGTCTCATTTATTATCTGATGAACTTTAAAGAGTTAAGCAGCATTGAGGCACATGTTCTGGGAAGCTAGCGGATGGTGTGAAAATACAACACTGGATTTTATTTTTGTAATTCTAATATATGAACACCCTGACAGAATAATAAGCTTTAGGCAAAGAGCCAGAAATAGAGTAAGCTTTTCTACATTTTTGGCATTTTGTAACTGAAATGAGATATGAGCTCTAGGTTGAGTGTAAGTGTGGGCTTTATAATATACAGGTGTTAGGCAGGAAGTGAGGAGGTGGTAGTGGGAGGGAGGGAGGGCAGGAAGAGTTGCCATGCACCATGCTCAGCCACATCTTCTATGTGAGGGGGTGGGAGAGGGGAGGGTTAGGTTAACCCTGTGGGGAACACTCACCGGAGTGTTGGACTGCTCCGTTAGTTTTTGCTCCCACATCTTCAGACGTCTTTCTCGTTCTTTGAGCTCCTGCTCTTTGAAGCTGAGGTCACGTTCTAGTTTCTTCAGCCTCTCCAGAGTTTCTTCAATTTCACATCTGCACAGGGATAACTGGTTTCAGTCTCAACTCTGCTCAATAGTGATTAAATGGGTCCAGCGGAATGCTTAATCAAGGTAAAAAGCTAAAACTCATACTTTTAAACCTAACAGCAAACTCTCAGAGAATAACACATCTTTCACAGCCTTCAAAATCAATGGGCAGTTTCTAGTTTGGAAAAAATAAGCTCAAACACTTTAACAAAGCATTAAAGAGCCGAAGCCATGGAGCTGATGTTCTAGTTTAGCCATTTAATAAATGCTTACATTCCTCTGGCTATTTACAATTAACAAAGGACAATTTATATCATCTCATCTTATTCTCATAACAGTCCCAAGAAACAGGTGCTAATCTCAGAGAGAGAGAGATGGGAAAATGATACTCAAGTTAGGTGAACAATATCACACCATTAGTAAATTCACGTTAGCCTATTCACTGGCTAAGACAAGTAATCAATTGATTAAGCTGACTCTGTTACCTGAGTTGTTAAGGAGTGGTGGTTATCTTACATCAGGGATTCCTAATTTGCCTGATCCTAATAATTATCTGCACAGCTGGTTAAAATAAACAAACAAACCCATACAACAAAACTCAGATTCCTAGGATGCTTCCTTAGAGCTCATGATTCAGTAGGATTGGGTGGAGGCCAGGAATTTATATTATTTAATAAAAGATCTAGATAGATTTTACCATCAGGCATGTGTAGGAAATTCTGGGCCATATGTACTCCAAGGTCCTTTTTAACTCTACTAATTTTAAAAGAAAGCCCCCTCCTGAGTCTGTATAGGCCTACTAACCTCACCACTTCATAGAAATTGGAACTGGTAAGATGGCTTGATGCATTTTTTTCCTCTTTCAGGACCACCATGTTTAAGTCTAAACTTATCCTCTGAGAGTTGTATGTTCTTTCCCTTGAGTTTCTGAAGAGCCCATGAGGAAAGTAACAGTAATGAAAGAAAAAAACAATAGAGAAAGAAGGAGAGAGAGAGGGGGGGGGAGGGGAAGGGGGAGGGGAAGGGGGAGAGGAAAGGGGAGGGGAAGGGGGAGGGGAGGGGGAGGGGAGGGGGGAGGGGGAGGGGAAGGGGGAGGGGAGGGGGAGGGGAGGGAGGGAGGGAAGGAAAGAGGGGAGGGCTGGGGGGGGGGAGAGAACCCTAGCGAAGAAAGGCTGGAGAAGGCACACAGAGCAGGAAAAGGCTGGAAAGAGGTGCTACGTAGACAGCTGTTGAGCGCTGCCAACAGCTATTTCCAGGTGCCATGAAGACAAACCTGCATGGCAGACTCAGAAATTCGGGCTGAGACCTTGTCTATGGAAAGCACAAGCCCCCAGATCTACGTTAATGAATTTGTGTGACCAAAATATGCCCTTTTTATTTCCAGGGAAAATCAGAATAAGTGGACAGCTTATTCCAATGTCCTTGTAGATGAGAACTAAACAAATGCAGACAAGAAAATTATTGGCAAATTCCAACTAAGGGAACAGCTATTGAGGTGGGTCTAGATTTAGGTCTGACATTTTACTTCCTTGTTGCAATTTGAAAATTAAAAAACAATATAGTAAAGTCACACTATAGTCCCTATGTATGATATCAGACATGAATGTTATACCCATTCATAAATAAGTTTGTTTTTTATTTTTCAAATAGAGGACTGAGGAGGAAAATCAATGTGGAAAACCTGAGGCTCAACTTCCATAACAAAGAAAAAGCCATCTTCAGTCAATGAGAGGGAAAGAGTAAAACAGCCTGTGCCCCTTGCTGTCCTTCCTTTGGTTGATGTGTTGTTTTGCAACCAAATGCATCTCTTAATGCACTTATATAACTTTCCTGCTATACAAAATACGTTTTAAATGTTTTAACTGATGAAAATTACAGCTTTACTCTTAAATAAAACCTAAGGAAGGTTGACCGCCACTACTATGAATTTTCCATATGCTAACAACAGGCGATGAACTCTACTTATCTTCTTTCATTAGACAGAAACTTCCTTTGAGATAAAAGGTCAATTAGTAAAAAACAGCTCTATTATATATATATATTACATAAGTACATAATGTGTGGATTATATTTATTCTTATGTCTTAAATGAGTTGTGCTAATATCCAAATAGCAAAGATGAAATATTTTTGATCTTTGTTTTTAAGAAGCCATGCCCCAGGGAGAGTTTTTGATCACAAGTCAGACCACAACCCACAGTGCTTTGCCGAGACAGAGATCTGAGTGCTCCTTCACACTCCACCCAGCTCACGGAGCACAGGTTCCCACAGGCCGCGGAAGACCCACGGGGCAATGAGAACTGAAACAGGAGGACATATTTTCTGAGCTTAATGCCCACTGCCGTCATGGCTAGTAAGCCAGTGGAGAAGAAACAAGCTGAAGGTGTGATGAGCAAGAAACGTAGAGATTTCTTTCCTATCATTCATTAGGTCAAAGGAGAGAACATATTGTAGTTAAGGTGGTTTTTAATAACCTAGTTTTAAAAAAATTTCCAGAATAATCATTTATCTTTCTAAAACTGGATAGATGTTCCATCTGGTCTTTGCGTAGTGGAAGCTCAACTAGAAAACAAGCATTTTCCAGAAACACCAGAGAAGGACTGGAATTTGACTTCACTGTGACTAATTTTCAATACACGCTTTGGACAACAGCCACACGGTTTCAGACACCAGAGGAAGTGGGGTGGGGGGAGGGGAGAGAGAGGAGTGGTCTGATGTGTTGTCTTTTGAAATACCCAGATGATGACAAAACATTCAATTCTTTCCACCACTTGGTAAAATAGCTGTTTTACCTTATCCATAACCTAAAACAATCATGCCCTGTCATATTTCTCTTCGCTAAAAAGGAGCCTGGTCAAGTGAACACTGCACGCTAATAAGTCGATGGTGTGGCACTGGCCACGGTCCCGGAACAGTACTGCGCACGTGTGTGCTCCTGCAGGCGTGGGCTCAGACCGCCTGGATTCCTCTCCTGGCTCCATCTTATAGGACATGATTTGGGCAGGTTACCCAACCTGTCCGGGCCTCGGCTTTTGCATCTGTGATGTCAGGGTTGCTATGTAGATTAAAACAGATAATCTGAATAAAGTATAACTATCTAGTAAGAACAATACATGACAGCTGTGCTTATCATTGTTATTCTAATTAATATATTACTCTCCATGCTTTTAACCAATGCCAAGTTCAGATAAAACAGCTCCACTGTGTCTCAAACAGTGGTTTAGTGGCCCAGGTAAAGATCTACACTCTCTCAGTTCTCAGGATTAACTGGTTCCTGAAAGACAGACAGTGAGGCGGCCCTCTAGGCAACGATTCACTTTTTACTAAAATAGAATGTTTCACTAATTTTATTTCCTTATCTTTTCATTTGGAAGCCTTTAAAACATTAAGTTTATTATTCAGCTAATCCAAGTTTCTTGTAGAAAAAAACTAAAGATATACAAATAGAAAACAATCTTCCATAATCTTATTACCCAATGATAACAATGACCTTTTGATATTTTTTTTCTTCGTACACACAAATATGCACATAAACAGATAGCCTCTATTTTATTTTATTTATTTTTGATAGCCTCTATTTTAAAATAATTTTTATCAGATCTCTGATATCATGAATTGCTCCATACTACTCTGTGAATGGAGATATCGTAACTTTTAAAAACCACAAATAAACAATAAAAACAAAGCGAATCTCCTTTTTGTTGCACTTCATGCCATTTCCAGTTTTATGAATCTGAGGAGAGAGGTGTCCTACATTCTTGCATCATCTTCTCATTCACTGTTTTTAGGAATACCTTCTTCAAAAAGGTAGTATTTTTTGTCACCAGCAAGGCATGAGAAAATTCATAACACTGGGTATTTTCATGATATAAATTTTCACTAATCTGAGAAATGAATTGTGTTCCCTTATATTTATTTACTTGATTGCTAAATGAGGTTGAGTATATTTCCGATGTTTCTTGGCCAGGTTTCTTCTTTTGTGAAGTGCCTTTTCATGTCCTTTAGTGTGACAGTTTAATTAAAATGTTCTTTTAAACAGTAACTCTGTCTATCACAGTGGTTTTCAAAGTACAGTCTGGGGACCATGAAAGCTTTTCAAAGAATTTGAGAGGTTCAACTGGTTTTCCGAGGAACATTAAGCAAATCGATGATTTGCTTTTGCTACTCTCCTTCTCCCACTAGTGTGCAGACTCTTCCAGAGGCTTTGTGACGTGTGATAGTGCCACAGGCTGAATGCGGAAGCAGTGTTTATTACTTTTTAAAGGAATCAATAAATTCATATTTACATTTTCCTCCGTTCTAATTTTGAATGTGATAACTATTGGCAGATGCAACATTGAAACAAAAGCTCTTTGGTGTCCTCAATAACTTTTCAGAGTGTAATGGAGTCCTGAGACCACAAACTTTTAGAACTGTTGATCTATCACACAGGACAAAATGCTGTTACAGGGTGGCCTTTGTTTTAGAATTATATTTATGAAGCATGCTGCTGCTTTAGGACATTTGGAGGTTTTACATTTCTATATAGAAAACTTACTAACGTTTCCCTTCTTTCCTAATTTTGTTGATATACTTTAATAGGAGGGTATTAATAGTAGGATTAAAACCTTACGAATCCTTTGGATCAGCGGTTGCCAACCGGTGGCCCACAGATCACTGGTGGCCCGGGAGGTCTGAAAGGTTTGTGACCGCTGTTTTGGATAACAGATGAAACAGCATTTCCTCAGGGGATCCTTTCATTTTATTCTCAGCCTAATTTAGGTTTCATGGTTATGTGTTCTCAGATGTCCAGTACTCCACTGACATAATACTTCTCAAAATAGTAATAATTATTTGTATACTTATACTTCACTAGAGGCCTGGTGCACGGAATTTGTGCACGTAGGTGGGGGGGTCCCTTAGCCCAGCCTGTACCCTCTTCCAATCCAGGATCCCTTTCCCAATCTGGAACCACTGGCTCCTAACCACTTACCTGCCTGCCTGATGCCCCTAACTGTTCTCCCATTCTGGCCTGATTGCCCTAACTGCCTAACTGCTCCCCCCTTGCTGGCCTGATCCCCCCAACTGCCCTCCCCTGCCGGCCTGATTGCCCTAACTTCCTATATGCACTCCCTTCCTGGCCTGATCTCCCCAGGTGCCTATCTGCTCTCCCTTCTTCTCCACACCCTTCAAGACCCCCGGCACAGGCATGCTGAGAGCTCTCTGCCACTGTCCTGATTGGCCATTATGTGATGGCGTCCAGGCCAATTTGCATATTCCTCTGTTATTAGCATAGATAGTTCAACACTGGCATTCCAGGTGCATTGGGACTGATCTGTTCATCACCAAACCCAATATCTAGAAGGTCACCTTGCCCCAGCCAAAGTCCAACAAATATTGAACGAATGCATGTAAGAACATATTTGTCGGGCAAACTAATTAACTTGCATATTTATATTCTTTTGTGCAATATCATACTGTTTTTTAAAAAATATTATTAACACCATTGCATTCTCTTTCCCAAATAGTTATTGAGCAACTGCTATGATGAAGGCACGTTTTAGATGTTGTAAGTACAATGATGAACCTGATGCATTTTAGCCAGTGACACACACATTAAATAAACTGTAACTTACTTATTCATTCCAATAGCAGTCATGGGCTACAACAGAGATGTTCTCCAAGCATATAAAGTGGAACGTCATGTAGTCTGGGGCCAGGAAATACTTCCTAAAAGTCATGTTATTTTAGCTGCTCTCTGTCATTAGAGTTGATGTTTTAAACAGGGTGAGCTTTATTTATTTTTATATTTTTAAGTTAAAATTAAAAAATATTTTCATTGATTTCAGAGAGGAAGGGAGAGAGAAACATCAATGATGAGAGAAAATCATTGACCAACTAGACTAGGTTGCCGCCCCCTCGTCGAGCCCACAACTCTGGGAATATGCTCTTGTCCGGAATCAAACAGTGACCTCCTGGCTCATGTGTCCACGCCCCGCCACTGGGCCACACCAGTGAGACTTGAAGATGCGTTTTATTTTTAACCATAAAACCCTTTGGGCATATGTTTTTGTCCACATCTCTGCTTCCTTAGAATAGGTTCTTGGAGATAGAATTTCTCTGACAAATGATATGAAAAATTTAAAGGTACCTGATTCGAATTGATTTCTGGGAAGGCGTATCAGTTTACTATCCTGCCAGCAATGTGTGAGTGTGCCTGCCTCTCAGACCATGTACTTGGAGGAGTATCAGTGCTTTTTTAACCTTCACCGGTTTGATAGGTCAAATATTATCTTCTTGATATACTGTGCATGTTCTAAACAGGGATGAATTTTAAACAAACAAAACAAACTATATTTTTTCAAGAACTCTGAGGGAGGAAGAACTATGCACCTTCTGAGGGACTGAAAGCCAGAAATAAGGGACAAACTATGCTCTTAAGATGAGGCCCTGGGACCAAAGTAAAGCGAGTCTCATGAGTCTTATTAAGTGCTTTGGCTTCTGTCCTAGAGTACTGGGCACCCCTTCATATGGATTTACTACCTTGTATATTTGTGCTGAACTTTTATTGTAGGAAAAAAATATTAATTTTATATATGTTGTTAATTATTTCAGCCCAGAACCAAATCCTCTGTGCCTAGACTAGAGCGGACAGTATTACTTTTGTGTCCCTAAATAAAAATTCACTTAACTTGCTGGCCTTTGATAAAGATTTCAAAAGAATAAAAATAAAGAAAGTTATTGCAAAACACCAAACAAACAGCCCCAAAACATGTCTAAGGACAGGAGAAAACAAGTTCATAGTTTTCAAAGCACATGCAGTATTCATTTGGCATCAGCAGGTGGCGCAAGGCGTCTCATTTCCGCCTGGGCTCTCAGGAGCAGAGCTGCAGTTACTTAAGTCTCTGCTGAGTCAGGGAGGAATAATGTCAGCTCCCAAACATGCTATTTATATTCGAGCGTCATGTGACCTGGCTCAAATGTCTCATCCCAGGCTTACTTCTTCCACTCACACAATACCATCTTCTCCTTACTGAACTTGTTTTACACTGGACACAATTTAATAGGATTTATAACAGCTAAAGTTTTCTTTCAGAAGTGTTTTTATCGTCTCCCTACCTTCTCCATCAACATACAGTGCTCTCTGCAAACTTCCAGGCAAACAGTATTTTTATTTCTCACTGGACAGAGGCCAAAGTTTCCTAACACAGCCTGTACACAGAGAAATGGTAACTAACTGTCCTCTGTCTCAGAAGATCTGATTTCAATATTGTTTCCGGATACTCATACAACACGCTCAGAGGGAACGCTGGTTTTTGCTTACGCATGAAATAGAAGACTTATTAGAGCTCCAGAGATTTTTAACACAAAAACAAATCAAGCCCGGCTGGCGTGGCTCAAGTGATTGAGCATCAACCTATGAACCAGGAGGTCACGGTTCGATTCCCAGGCAGGGCACCTGCTCAGGTTGTGGGCTTGATCTCCAGTTTGGGGGTGTGCAACAGGCAACAGATCAATGATTTTCTCTCGTCATTGAGGTTTCTATCTCTCCCTCTCTCTCCCTTCCTCTCTGGAATCAATGAAAATATTAAAAACAAAATAAAAAGCCACAATTCCTAAGCTATCCTTAGAAATCAGGATTGTCATCTAGTTTCCCGGTTCTCTCCTTCACTTCAGTGAGGCCCGGTCCTTGAAGCCAGGGGAGGTGCCTGCTGAGCAGGCTGCCTACCTCCACTCCGCCTTGTTGTGCAGGAATGAGTTACACTGGTCAGGAAGGTTAGTGTCATTGGACATGGACTCCAGAATCGAAATGATTTGCTTGAAAGACGGCCGTTTCTGAAGAAGAGAAAATAGCCACTTGTTAGACATTCAGATAGATCTTCAAGAGAAAATCTATAAGCAATAGTAAGAAGCTCAACATATCATGACAAAATAAAATAGGATATAAAGTCCCGATGTAGTTAGTTTACAACCGCCAGGCCACTCAGGTGTAGGAAACTGTATTCCTTAGTTTCAACCAATTTTTCATAAGGATAGACTCGGGCCTGTTTTCTATCTGTGGCCTACATTTGGAATAATTGCAGTTTTTCGTCAGGTAAGAAAAGTACTCATTCTCTCTTTGGGGTATGATTAAGGACTCCTAGAAGGCAAAAGTTAAGTCCTTTAAAAACTCTATGTGATAAAGCAAGCAGGCAAACGTTAATGGCAGAATCTAGGTGATAGGTATACCAATTTGCTGTAAAATTCCTTCAACTTTCCCGGATGTTTGAAAATGTGTATAATAAAATGTTTTGGGGAAAACCTACTTATAAATTTACCAAAACTAACAAAATTTCCTAAACCACTTGCTCAGAAAATTTTCCCAATTAAAAAGCCATCCTAACTTCATTGTTCTCAATATTCATTCCACATTGTAACTAACTTTGGTGCTGGAAAATGCTAGGATACTGGTGAGCAGAAATTGAAAAGGAATGGTTATGTGTACTTCTTTAGCTTGCAGTAACTATAGTGGTCTATCTCTTTAGTCTGGAGTCAAGGTTGAGAGAAAAGGTTAAACCAGAAATTGAGAAAGATAATAAAAATATGATGCATATTTTCTCTTCATCATGCCTCATAATTATAGCATTTCTGAATAAATTACAGTTGCAGCAATTAAAACTTGCATTTTAATTTAACAGCACAAAAACAAGAAGGAACAATGTTGAGGTGCTTGCTCTCAGGTCTTGAGTGCCTAAGAAAGGCAATTTTCCCATTTCTCAGGAATATAAAATGAAGGTATTTATCCTGAGTTCTTTATTTTTTCTGAGTTCTTTTAAGAGAGAGAGTTGTGTGTGTGTGTGTGATTAAGATAGGGCAATATACAGTATATATATATATATATATATATATATATATATATATACACACACACACACACACACACACACATATATAGCCTTCTAATAAGCAAAAATGAAAAAATGCTGTAAATAGAAAATTTGAAAAATATTGTCTTCTTTTGACTTTGTCCCCATTTTAATTTCTACACTATGTGTAAGGCTACAAAGTTTTAATTATTTGTATAGAAACACATTATATAGTAAGTATAGGATTTTCATTTTGCATTAAAAAGGCAAAAGAAATAATGAAGTTTTAAATAATATATTCCTATATAATCATTCTTATAATAAGGTGAAATTCTTTTGTAACTGGATGACAAGTACCCCTAGAAAAAAAATCTTAATTTTATCAATAGAATACGCTCTCAGAAAGAAATTACCAAAGTGAACATATAATAAAGCAACACCAAGGCAGACTTTTGTGGTAATGATAGTTTATGAATATTCTGACTTCAGAAGACAAGATTTGGGCTAAGGTCTTATGTAAGTTCCTTTGAAGGAACTTAATTTCCTTTCAGAAATTATGAGGCATTCCTTACGTAAAAATCACAACTAGGGCCTTTATTAAGCATCCATACACAGTGTTTCTTTAGTTATCTTCACTTCATAGATAAGGAAAATCAGTCTCAGAGAAGTAGCAACTGCTCAGCCACACAGAGGAAGCAGGCCACAGAGCCAGGGACCACATACGTAACCCTTCAGAAGGCTTTATCACATGAGGGTAAAATAGTACTTCCTTTCAGACTCAGGGCTCTAACTATTACCTTTTTCTTATTTAGAACTGCCTCTTTAGAACTTGAACCAATACCTACCTTCACTTCCTTCCCTTCTTCAATGAAATAGTTTGAGCCCCGGGGACATTAACCTAAAACCAGCCTGCTCTTGTACACATTTCCTCCTCCTCATTGCAAAAGAACACATTTTTATCGCTGAATATTTTAATCTATGTGTTAATATTCTAAAACTCAAGGGCTGGGGAAAAAAATATTTTAACCAATTGTTATATGTGCACAGGTCTGGCCCCAACTTCTGGTTGAAATGCTGAGTACTTCCGGCCAGAGAACTAAAACAAGCCTGGGCTGGCTACTTCAGTCCACCACAAATTGGGCATCTATTACTCACCTTATGTAAGGTGCTACAGAGAAACACATACTAACACTAGCTCTATTCCCTTATATATCCTGCAATCAATTTAGGAGGAAAAGATATTTTTAAAACTACAACAGTACAAGGTAAGGCACTAGCCCAGATTGTGGGTTAGGAAAAGGAACACTAATTGTAGGCCAGAGTAAACAGAGTAACCAGGGAAGTGTGATGATGAAGTGATGAGGGGAGAAAGGAAAAGAAGGGAGAGCACGCTTGGGGATGAAGGTGGGAGGCAGGTCTGAGGAGCTGAGCAATGGAGCTGGGAGGGTGGGCTGTGGCTGGGCGTATAATAGGATCAAGAATGGCGCCATGTATTAGTTTTATCAAAATAAAATGTCATGAATTTAGGAAATAAAAACCAATCAAACTTTATTTTTATACTTCACATGGCTGGAACACAAGATTCCTTTGGTCCCAAGGAAGTTCAGCTTAGCACACGTTAAAGACATGCCAACTTCACGGGACCAACATGGGGCCTAATGTTCTGTGCTGATGGGTGTTTATACTACCATTTCATTAATGCACCATAAAAGTACATTCTCAGAATTTTAATTAAGGTAGTACAGAGTTTCTGATTAAGAAATTCGCAACCTGCTTTGCATACTGAAATATAATTACAATTATAAGGATCTAGTTGTATTAATCTAATTCAGTGCAAATAATTTCAGATGAAATTTCTATTTAAATGTCAGAGGAGAAAATACTGACGGAATTACTGTATATGCCACAATGGGTATATAACTGTTAGGAAGAGTATGGAAAGGGTAGTATTCGAACAGTACAAAATAACTTCTACAGCAAGCTTGCAAGGAGCCACTTATAGTTTCTACTGGATTAGTTACAAAGTGCAGGCCTTTATCTTAATGCTTAACAATCCCCATATTCTGGAAAATCTCACTCTAAAAGAATAGGGCTGAAACAGGAATAGGGCTGACCACTCAACACCTATGTAACTTGGTCACGGAATACTACTAAAAACAACAGCTATCCTAAATAGAAATACCAGCACTCTACTTGTTAAAAGACAAAGGCAGCTTGATGGACAGGAGTAAAAGCAAAGGAGGAGGCTGTTGGTAATGAGAGGATAGGCAAATGCTCAAGGTGGCGGGGAGGGGCGGTGGGGAAGGGGGAGAACCTCAGCAAGCCCTCCTAAGACAAAGCTGGCAGCGGCAGCAGGGCCGGCAGGTGGCAGGGGCTGTGCTGCTGGCCGCACTGCAGTACCTGGTGCTCAGCTGTTCTCACCTGGTGATGTGGAACAAAGTGCCGGGAAACATACGTATGACTCATCGGGAACTCTGAGTTATACTCGCACAGTTCCCACACTCACCAACTATTTACGCGTTATTTCCACTAGAGAAACATGTACTATATGTTAGCATTCATTCCTCTAGAGGGCCAGACTGGAATTGGGTTTAAATTAAGGAAGAAATTTCATCCTTATGTTTTTACTTAAATAGATCTCTATTTAAAAGGTCAGGATGCATTAGATATATTTCCATGAAAAACTGGACAAATTGAAACGATAAAATTTTAGTTCCTTTCTTTGAGTATAACTCTCTTACTATAGGCAATGTTTAATCTGTGAGACTCTTTATTTTTAACGTATTATGGAAAATTCCAAACATACACAATGATAGAATAATATAATGAACCTCCATATACCTATCACTCAGCTTCAAAAATTATAGCTAATCTTATTTCATTTATACCATCAACCATTTCCTTTCCATTTATTTTGAAGCAAATCCAAGACTAGCCTATCATTTTATCTATAAATATTTCCGTATGTATGTGAGAGTCTTTTAAAATGATCTTTGTAGGGAAAGGAAATGGGCCATTCATGCTTAAATGTGATAACCACATGAAAGCCGAAGTTTGGAATTTCTCCAACTCCATTGTGATTGTCTAAAAAACATCACTGAAACTGGACAGGAAGTAGGTATCAAGGTTCTCTCCCAGGGCTACTTCTGGTCTTTGGTTACCAGGGCAATGGAGCATAGTGGTTAAGAGCAGGACTCCCATCAGACTGACTGCCTGGGTTCATGTCCAGCCTCACCACGTCTTAGCAGTGTGGCCTCGAGCTCATTCCTCTACCTCCGTGTGCCCTGATTCTCCATCTGTAAAATGAGGATAATAAAGGTACCTATTTCATGGAGCTATTGTGAGGAATGAGTTCATACACATAAAGTATTTGGAACGATGCCTGACGTATAATAAGCACTGTGTGCTAGCCATCTTTAAAACATGAAGGTGCAATAGTTACCATTAAAGATGAAAAAGAAAGGAACAAATTTCTCTTTATTGAGTCAAGAATGCTGTAAAAAAAGACCAATTTTATTGAGTTTCCAGGGGTCAAGATAAGCAGATGTGAACAAAAAGCCTTCACAGTCAATCTGGGGAACAGCAGCCCAGCTTTGCTTTGTAATAGATTTTATAACCCCTCCCCCCAGCCCCAAATTCAAAGCCAAACAAGTGAAATTCCAGAGTTCGGAACAGCAACAAACACACATAGACGTACCTTGGCATCAGCTTCCCAACACTGATGTAACAATTCAGCAAAACTTCTGGGGCAGCTGCTTGGAATGGTTAATCTCTACCATAGAGAGGAAAAGCAAAATAAAACATAAGGCTTCGCTCATTAAGGAAAGAAAGTACTAATTGGAGGGTCATAAAAGAATTAAGAGCATGAACTAGGCATTGCATTTAAATCTTCCACTGATTAATATAGGACAAGTGAGAGTTTATGGTTAGAGTCATAATCTCTAATCCCTGAAGACACTTGTACTTTTCCGAAAACATAATCACAGTGGATAGAGAATCAGGTTCAGCACAACAAATGCTTAACAAACAAACAAAAAAAAATCAAGTCTAAAAGAAACTACAGAAGGAGAGGGGCAAGTCTGAACTTACATCCAAAATCTAAAACCACAAATCTATGACTGTACTTTTATAAGCAACCATGAAATACGCAAACAGGCCGGGCAACTCGGAAACCAGTTCGGTTTTGGCAGTACATGGACCCCTGTGAAAACATCTTCCCTGCAGACAGCCACAGAGACAGTTTTAATGAAGTGCACACTCTGCCATTGGGAAATAGGACGTTCTGAAGGCATGGTTCATTATGGCTTCGTTTTCGTCAAACTCATAAACGGTAAGGACCCGGTACAACAAAGATGACGGTGTGAGGGTCGGTGCTGTCCTGACGCTCCACAGCAGTGGTTCTCACAGAACACACAATGCCCCTGGAGGCTGTTGGGAGCATTTCCGTTTGTTTTAAAAACTGCTGGGTTGCCCCTGGAGCAGGTCAAGAATGCAAGCCATCCTTCAATATGCAGGGAAGTCCTACTTGATTAATAACTTGCTTATATCCCATCGAACTTCAAGTGCCCCAGGTGCATTCATGTCAGTAAAACAAGGGAACAATGAGGTTTACAATTATCTGAGCCCAGAATCTAACACTGACTTACAAACAAACACAAAGCATGTTTTTGAATAGCTTTTAAGTGCACTGAATGTTCTAAGAACACACTTACCAAATGAAATAAGTCAAGGGCTGAGTTTTGCATTAAATAACGTTTTGGAAAACGTCACAGACAACAGTGTTGCTCACACATGGTACTGGAGTCATTAACCCAACTCTATCTGCGTGTGTAGCTGTTGAAGTCTATTTATCCACAGTGCCAGCGCCTAAAGCTGCTCCATGACCTCACCGTGGTCATACCTGCACATTCACACACTGCAAGTGCAATACACATTCCATTCATTTCTTCTTTATATTCCACTAGGGCACTATATTGCCTTAAAATCTAACGTGTGCAGGTAGGTTGTATTACCTCTGAATTTCACTTCATGGAAATAGAGATGGGCATTAACACATGGTTATAAGAAGCACTGGGGGTGCTGGAGTTGAGAACTGCTGTACTAAGAAGTACTGGAAACATTTATTCCACAGTATTGTTTGACAAAGAAAACAAAACTGAACTGAGTTGGTTGGATTGGGGGTTGCTATGTGTAAAAGTAGAAAAATTGTTGCCTTGGCAAGAAAACAGACAATCTATATTTGGAATTATAGATAACCTTAAAATCCAAATAAAATAAAATAAATTAAATTAAAAACTCTCTCCAGGTTGGAGGCTATGCTAAACATCTTTTAACTTCCAGCCAGTGGTTTCATAGAATAGAATACAAGGTACTGGTAATAAACTGTAATGTGAACTGGGACCTTTTGATGAAGGTCAAAAAAAAAAAAAAATCAGGTGTTTACTTTTCTTAAAAATAAGATGGTTTGGGTGGCAACAAATAAAACAGACAGTAATTGCAATTATGCAACTGAATGTGCCTCATGTGTAATGAAAAATAATTTTTCACAAAGAATAACATTTGCATACAACTTTACCTCAACTTTTTTTTCCCTTAAGAACTTAAATGTGAACAGAATGAATATGGATACTGATCATTTCTATTGTCTTTTCTTACTGACAAACTTTTTAGATACCCTATCTGGGACATTGTACAAGGAGACATAATTATGTTAAATGATCTGACAAGGTCAGTTGAATTTAGACTCAGGCTTTTAAAAAATATATGTTTTTATTTATTTCAGAGAAGAAGAGAGAGGAAGCAAGATAGAAACATCAATGAGAGAGGATCATTGATGGGCTGCCTACTGCACGCCCCCTACTGGGGACTGAGCCTGGGCATGTGCCCTGACTATGAATTGAATGATGACCTCCTGGTTCAAAGGTCAACACTCAACCACTGAGCCAAGCTGGCTAGGCCATATCTGTCACATTTAAGATATTTATTATTAATGCTATCTTAATTACATGCCTTCTATAAGGATTCATTGTTTGCTTTGTAAAGTTTAACAATGCTTTGTGTATCTGGCACTAATAGGATTTAATATTAGGAAAAACTATTGTTTAAAGATTTTATTTCATTATGTAGCGTTTAGAAAAGACCTTCAGATATAATTTTTAGACAGTACTGATCTTCCTATAGATGCAAAAAGTAACCTTAAATGGTGAAACCAAATAAGGTCTACAGTCTTATTAAGAGTGATGTTTCAATGTCCATTTCCAGATTTTGCTATACTATGCCTATGTGTCACTGGTGGGGGAAGTTGGGGGAGAATACACAGAAATTCTTGATATTTTTCAACTTCCTGTGACTCTGTCATTTCTTTAGAATAACATGTTAATAATAAAAGATAACCCTAATATTTAGATGTTGGTATACTGTAGGGTGACTAGTTCCCATTTTAAATATTTCCCTGGAAATTTAAATATACCATCCTTTGTTTAATGAGGCTTCTTTAAAAACAAACAAAAAACAAACACAGCTTTGTCTTTTCAACTCAATAACCCAAGACACCTTCTTCCATGGCAATGGAAACTACATTTATGCTTAATTTTTATATTTGTGACAAATATTGTGCATAGTAAGGACAAATAAATAAATATATTTGTTATGACCAGTTTTCCTGAAGTTCATTAGAAAATTGAGAAAACTTATTTCACCTTATGGGTTTTTTCAACTTACTAGTATATGTGATAACTACAATGTGGGAAGTATTTGAGCAGTCTCCATCAGTTATTAGCTGATCATAAGATCACACCATGGCTAAAACAGTAGTCTATTTAGGGGGTCTCTGAAGGTAAGAGGGAGATGGCCTCCTTGTATACATGTTGAGGAAGTTCTGAAGGTTATGGATGATTCCCAGTCAACTATTCAAAGGCACCTTCTAAATTCATTTTTCTCTCCAGCATTAAAATTCCTTGATAGACACTCCAATGTTTTGAAAATGCTTCAGATTTATACCTATTCTGCCTTCCTTTAGATGAAATGTTACTTAAATGATTAAGTATTCTATACATATTTGGAGGGTCCAGTTTAGCTTTAAACAAGGTAGAGAGGAAAAAATGATATTGAGTGCTCTGCTCCAAAGTCAACAGAAGGTCAATAATTTTCTTCACTCTCATTTGTAAACCCAGAACCAAATATCTAATCATCTTGCTGGAAAAAGACACAGAATAGAACAAGTGGGTTTTCATATCATGAAAATATCAGTTCTCTTGTATGTGAGGCCTGATTTCATAACACAACAGGAATTACTCCCACATTTAATTAAAACAGAGCAGTTCCCGTGAAACAATGCGTAAGACACATTCTTGAACGTAACTCCTTTTAATTTTTCTTAAATTGGCAACACAATCCTATCAAGTTCAGTTATCACGAACATTTCATCCATTCCCAATGGCTCAGGAGGACAAATTAATCACTCTGGGTTATGTGATCTAAAATACGGAAACCTGCTTTCTCTTCGTCAATAGCAGCTGTTTGATTAATCTGGTTAGTTCCTGCACTCACAGGGGGAGTAGATCTATCTAATTCCTTTAAAGCATTAACAAGGGACTCTCTCTCTCTATAGATATTCATCTTTTTGCAAATTATTTTATCCTCAGGTTACCCTCGTACCCTTTGTAGGGGGCACACACCAGGCCTGGAAATGAACAAGTTCTGTGCAATGAAGTGGTTTTGCATTGCAAAGGCCACCGCGTGCTTCCATGACCTGATCTAAGTTCTCCTAATGCCCTGGTAACTGGATGCTTCATCCGTATGCTGAAAATTTCCATGGCTGTGCGTTTCAGTCACAATTTTAAACCTTTCAAAACGGAGTTGCTCTCTTTGATATGAATGTACCATGTCCTCTGATGTAGGCTCATAGGTCCAACTAACTGAAAGCCTCAATTTGTGGGAAGAAGAAAAGCGAGGCTGGGGACACAGCACAAACGGTGTTTACGCCACTGAAGTCCTTTTGAAATGGAAAGGCTCTGCATGAAGAGGCGCACAGTTATGCCACTGCCTCGGCAATTCCAGCGAGGAGCTCATCTTCAATGTAGTGCTCAACGTAGGTGGCAAAACTGTAATTTTCCCCTTTTTTGAAACTATTTTTTCTTCTTTTATTTTTGAAATTCTCATCTAAGCGACGGTTTCTTGTACTATAGTGACTCCTGCTGGGAGAGGTAAGTTGAAGTAGCTGAAGGTCTCTTACAGATATATCAACTCCCAGCCAGTAAAAAAGATGTCCTAAACGCAGGAGATGGAGTTAAACTGTTCCCCTACCTTGGACGCAATGGCTTCTTTCATCACTAAGAACAAACCCCTAGGTTTTACAATTGAGACTGAGAAACTAGTACAGTACTTGTACAATTTTTGATCTACAGCATCACGACGTGAAGCTGCAACAATTAGATGTAAAGGGTCCATTCATGAGGAATAACATCACTTTGACCCTTTGTGTTAGCTCCTACTGCTAATCTTTCCATAAGCGTGAACTTACTTTCAATTTGAAGAAGATGAAAAAGTCTTTTGCAAAACCCCAATACTGTTTTCTGATCTATGTACCTGAATGGAGAATCGTAGTCTTACCTCGTTTTTTTCCACTACAAGCCAAGCTACTTGTAATCCTTCCAAACCTTTAAAGGGGACCTCCCTTGTTAGCATCTCCCAGAGAACCTGGAACAAAAAGAAAATGGAATTTTTATTCTTGTACTTTATATTTTGGCATATTACTGAAACTTTATGTAACACTTAACTGTATCCAATTACCAGACACAACCAATCCCATCTATAGGAACTTTGGCAAAATGTATATATTTATGGATAGGACTCCTTCCATATATTATATACATTTTTTTAAATAAAAAATTCAGGTTTAGAAATTAGAACATCTAGAGCCAGACTTCAATTTTTATGAGAACAATGGACTTAAGTGATGTAACTTTATCTTGTAAGTTATTAGAATTCTCACAAATACCCATAAATTGGATTTTATATCTTGTTAGTTAAAACTCTTCCCATCTTTAATCTCTGATATGTTTCTCTATAAAATAAATAATAATTAGGAATTAAAACATTTTTAAAGGTCCAATATGGTCTCATCATAAAAAAATCTAAATCATTGGCTAAACCACTTATTCCATAATAGGTACTTGCAAAAATGTAACATTTAGATTTTGTGTTTTGAAGAAAATCTCAAAATGTGTTAGTCTAAGGGATTAATTTTTATCCATAATTTGTTAATACTATATTCTAAAATATAATAAATACTTTATGTACATTATAGACTGAGAGTGTGTGTGTGTGTGTGAGTGAGAGAGAGAGAGAGAGAGAGAGAGAAAGAAAGAGAAAATCAATGTGTGTGTCCATCTTGAGATCAGCATGATTAATAAATTGGCACTGGCATGCCCAAAGAAAGCAAATTGATTCTGGGAAGGCTGAGATCAGCCAATAATTTTGATTTTATTTTAAACATTAAGTATTGAAGATTTTCACACCCAGTTATTTTCTCTATTTATACACTTGAGCATCAAAATTTGAGTTTACCAATACTTTGTGAAATGCAAAAAGAAACATAATTATGATTTTATCAATAATAATCCTAACAACCACTATCACTGATCGACTGATCATGTTCCAGGCACTGTTAAACCTTTTAGATATGTTATCAAGATTAATACTGACCCACTGGAGGGAGAGAATCCTCATTTTACAGATGAGGAAACTGAGGCTTAAAGAAGTTAAACAGACTTGCCCCGGACACTCAGTTATCAGGTGGCAGAGCTCGAACAGGAACCTGCTGTCTCACCCTGAACGTCAAACTCTCAGCCCAGTGTAACCCACACAGGAAAAGCCGAAGCACAGGGAGGGGACACGCCATATTTCAGGGGTGGGGCCATGGCAGAAACAAACTGAGCAGTTCTGATTTAAATTTATCTGGTTCCAAAAACAAACAAAATGTCTAAGTAAGAATATAGACTGAAGATATATGCTGTACTCCAGCAACTCCTATAAGCCTTTCGCTCTATATCCTCCATTTCCTAGCTCGATGCTATGTGAGCCATACATGTTATTCGAGCCATAACATTTTCAATGAATTCTGGCTGATATGCAGATAATTAGCAGGAAAATCAGGGAAATTGGCAGATGCTGCTCACACAGGAGAAAAAAATATTCGCTGAAGCCTCTTTGGGCTTTTAATCAAATGTGTGAGGTACTTCTCTGGAGGAGCTACTGAATAATTCTATTTGAGGAACAGAAGAGATTAGGAAAAGGTAAGGGGCATCCCAGAGGAGATGATTCTAGGGAAGACTGTAAGTAAAGGAAGGACGAGGCAGGTATGCAATCACACCTGACGATCGGCAGGCACAGGGCAGGGGCAGGGGCAGCGGCTTGGAGAGGGCTGAGCAGGAAATGAAGCTCCTCACTTCGTTGTATTTACCGCTCCCTTGATGTTGGGCTTGGGGAGGGGAAGGATATGAAGTGCAAGCAAATTAATGGACTTGACATTCCCGAGGAGAATGGGAATCGGGCTCAGATAAATCAAATGCACCAGGTCCAAACGCTCAGATGAGCAGCCTCGCGGCCCCCTGTCGGAGGCCGGCCCGCATGCACAATATACTGTGCACGTCCAGACAGGAAGACGGGCCGCGTTTTGTGAGGGAAAATGCAAAGCCAAGAGCTTGGGGAATAGCAGCAGAAGGAGATTTATGTCTTTCTTGATTCCAAAGTATGCAGCTGGAAAATGTCCAACATCTAGTAAGATCGTAGTGAATGCTTCTCTGAGAGTTCTAACTCTGGGAAAATAAGTATTTCACTCCCCCCCCCCCCCCCCCCCCCCTCCGTGTCTCTAAAGAGCTACTCCAGCTGAGGGAGCCACTCGGTGGAGGTAAACCTGTCGGGGATGGCGTCATGAACCACTCAGCTCTGAAGCCCAAAGGGGGTCCGCAGTCTGATTCCAGGATCAGCACATCCCCTGACTTCCTATAATTAACTCACCGGATCCTGGAATGCATCAGAGAGACGGAGGTCCGAGACAGGACAAGAGCTTTTCCTCCACTAAACGCCGTGACATTTGGCACACAAAAAGGCAACTTTGTTGAGGAAGTCATCTGGAGGTCTAAAAATATACCCGACGCTGCCCGAAAATATCAGTGATGGGGATGCAGGCCAAACCCTGTGACCTTTCACCCTGAGCCTATTTTCCAGCTTGTTTTATATGGAGGCGCCCTCCCGTTTACACTGCTCACAAGGAAATGTTCTATTTTCAGTTTACAGAAGAGAGACCTTGGACCAGGCGGTGCGCTGTTCCCGCCGTGGCTTTTACTAATAACGGGGAGCCGTTACCTGGGCTGCCCGCTCTGGAGCGGGGCTCACAGGCCAGACCGGCGGAGACACGTGCGCTCTCAGCCTCTCTCTTATCCTCGAACCCGGTTTGGCTGAGCAGCTTCTCAAAAGGTAATGCTTCCTGCGCTGTCATCAGGGAAGCTTTGTTTTCAGAGAGCGCCTGGCCTGTGTTCAGAGGCTGCTTCTGCAGTGATGATTGCTTTCCTTGAGTGTGTGGGTAACCTACTGACTACTCCTGGTTTGGCCCTTCGAGAGCCGTGGTTGGAAAGGGGTAGAAAAACCTCTTCTAAAAGGGAGAGAGAAACAACCGCCGGCCTAGCAGAGTGTACCAGCTTGGAAGGAAGGATCACAAGACCCATTCCTGGCATGCGCAGCCCATTTATTTTAGGGCCGGCTAGTCTTGCCATGTGTTCAGAAGCAACAGGATTAGCAAGCTGGGGAGGGTTAGGGACTTTGATAATATTAGCAGCTACATTCCTACAGCAAGTCTAAAAAAGAAAAAAAAAGAAAAAGAAGAAATATATTGGAAATTTGGAGGAAGGTTTCCAAAAAGCACAACTTTTTAAAATGATCTTATTCATCTATCTGTGACTGTTGTGTGTATGTGTATGTGTATGTGTGTGTGGGGGGGTGGGGTGGGAGGGAGTAGCTCAAAGAACAGAACGGAGTTTTAATACATTATGGCACCCTGCCATTTACACTGAGATGCAAAGAGATGCTCCTTCTGAGAAATGAGTCCTGGCTACTCACCTAGTTTTGAAAGGACATCAAAAATTCCAAATAACCACATTGCTTCCCTAGCTTGGTATCCTTCTCAAAATTTATACATTGCCAACTTCTGAAACCAACCTGGCCCCTCCCTAACCACTGTCCTCTCCTGCTTTTGGGCAACACCTACATTGAACATAGAATACCTTCTTGGGTTATTTATTTATTATTATTATTGATTGTTTAAACACAAAGGCTCTGGCCCTAACCAGTTTGGCTCAGTGGATAGAGCATCGGCCTGTGGACTGGAGGGTCCCAGGTTTGATTCCAAACAAGGGCATGTACCTTGGTTGCGGGCACATCCCCAGTAGGAGGTGTGCAGGAGGCAGCTGATAGATGTTTCTCTCATTGATGTTTCTAACTCTCTATTCCTCTCCCTTCCTTTCTGTAAAAAAATCAATAAAGTATATTTAAAAAACAAACAAACAAAGGCTCTGGAAAGCAGGCCTGGTACTTTTTCTTTCAGCAATGGTAGTTTATCTAGAACAGAATGTGGGAAGGGGTCACAATTAAATAAAAGGCCAATTTCCATTTATTATTAAATTAGGATATACGCACTTTTCTGAAAGGAATTCAGCCTATAGAGCTACGAAGTAAGCTCTATTGAGAACTCTCTTCAATACAGTAAAACAGAAGCTGTTTTAAAACAGACTCACTGAAAAGGCATTTCTATTTTCGCCCTGCCATGAATATAAAACTGATATTCAGAAGCAGGTGCTGAAATTAGTTACATTACTTGACAGAACCATTTATTAAAATTTGTTAAATCCCTCAAAACAAAACCAAGGCAGGGGCAGTAACCAAGCAGGAAACCTAATTCCCAAAGAGAAATGCCCAGGCCTGACGATCTGAAGGCACTGCTCAGTCACTGGAAGGAAAGCTCTAAAATAAGCCAGACTGAGCGTCTGCGGCTCCACAAAGGTGGTGCAGACTGTTTTGCATGAGGGGGTCTATGGGTGAGAGTGACAGAGGTTTTAAGTGGAACAGGAAGAAATCCCGAGCTCTGCAAACAGGAGTCACCGCTCAGCATCCTTTATGGTTTACGTGTGAAGAGGGATTTGTGTTCTTGGCTGCGGCAACTAAGATTCTCCTTCAGCTGAAGGAAAGCAGGCGGGCCCATTTCACACTAACGTCCCTGCCACGGTAAGCAGTTAGAAGAAGGCAATGGGTGCAGTTTGCCTTCGTAAATGAAATAATACTAAAACCAAAAGCTCACCCTATGCATAACTCATAGTCGTGTCTTTCAGGCGTAAAACTTCTGAGGTCAGGAAATTGCACGAGGTGAGGAGCATTGTAAAAATGAAAGTCCTGTATGAAGACTGTAGGGCGCTAAAATGAGCCTCAAGTCTTAATGCATGTAAATGTGCAAAATCATTTAAAAACTATAATCCCCCAACTATGCTGGTGTATATTTATGTGCATGGGCAAGTGAAAGCAGTGAGAAGTGTGGTCTTTTCTGAGTCACGCTGAACTGTTCTGCAGCCGTGTTGCTCATTTTCCATCCCTGTTGTTCCACAGAGGGGTCTGCAAAGGGTGGCCTGCTGAGGAACGCAGACCAGCGCTAACATTTTAAAGAGTTTTTTAAAACAAACAAACAAACAAACAAAAACAAAAATACAAACACCCAACACACATGCAAAATGCAATAAAGACTATGAATGGCCCTCGAAGTCTAAACTATTTACTATCTTGTCTTTTATAGACAATGTTTGCTGGCTCCTGCTCCCCTACAATGAAGTCCTGTTCCAAATAATCCGCTTTACCACTGACTTAGATACTCTACAGTCATGTCGGCCCAGGAAAGCTCTCGCCACAAGGTGCCTCAGGCCCAGCGCCAGCTTAGGTTGCCTCTTAGAAGCGGCACTGGCTTCCCCTCATCAAAGGACAAAATAGCTCAGATGCATAAAAGTGGTCAAAGTAAACATTCTAGTAATTACACTGTGCCCGGCATTCCACAAGAAACATCACTGTCTTAAAACTGTGCTAAATTGTTGCATCCCACTTCTGTGGTTTGTTTGCCTTTTGTACTTCCTTTAGCAACAAGAAGTGAGAAATGAACTCACCACACCATAGGAATAGGTGTCACATGTTTCAGACACAGGAAGACTTTGGATAACTTCTGGAGCCATCCACGGGAAAGTTCCGACCAAGGACATGTGTGTTGTATGGTTATGGAACCGAGAGGCACCAAAATCGCAGATCTGAGAAAAGAGAAATAAGTATCGACTTTCTATTTCATGACTAATAAAAAACACCGTCATAAACACCTACCTCTGAAATTCACAATTTTTTAAAATTAAAAAAAAAATAGTCTTACCTTCAATACCCCATCAGCAGCAATAACAACTAGAAGAAAGAAAAAAGATAAATTATGAGAATCATCTACTTTGTTTATCTTATACTGAAATATCATAAAGTTCTACTTTTATCGTCCATATAGCATCATGATGGGTAAAATTAAAGCAGTGACTGTACTTTGAAAGATTCTGAAAGAAGGAGCTGACATGAAAACAGAATCAAAACAAGAATTCCATGAGGTACTTAAGAAGGCTTCTAAGACATTAAGTTAAACCAAATGTAGTACTGCCCGGCAAAGAAACATAGGTCAGTAGTAAAGATAACCAAAATTTTACTTGAGTTCTGCCGCTAGGCCATCAACAAGGTACTGAGGAAGTCAGTAGTATTTTACTTCATAGTACATATGTTTTTTTCCTTACAAGTGAAGAGTAATTTTCTTGAAGGCAAGGACAATATTCATTCATTCATTCATTCATTCAGTTATTCATACATTCATTTACTTAACAAATGTTTGCTGAGCAAAGCCACATGCTCCATTCTGGAAGACAAAGGTAAACAACACTATCCTTGTCTCTACTCTATGGAGCTTACATCCTAATGGGCGAGCCGAGAAAAGACGCATCTACGATAAAGTGGGAGAAATTCCGCGCTGAGAGGAGAGAGTGCCATGTCACTAACAAGCGGGGGCAGCTAACTGTAAGCAGGTCAGAGGAAGCATCCTGGAAGAAATGGTGCTTAGACTAAGATTAAAAGGACAAATTGGGATTAACCAGAGACTAGAGAGCTGGGGGAGAAAAAGTCGTTTTCTAGGCAAAAGAAAGAACCTTACAAAAAAGGGCAGCAGGGAAATAGGCATGCGGTTTTGGAAGACAAGGGCCAGTTCCAGAAGACCCTCTGAGAATCATGGAAAGCCAGTGAATGACTTTTAGCGGAGGAATGAGTGGTCAGATGTGCAGAGGGGAGAGTATGCTGGAGAAAAACGGAACTGGAGGCAGTGAGACCTGTGTGAGCCAGGTCCATCTAGTCCAAGAGAGGGATGAGGATGCCTGTAGGCGGCTGGGGGACAGGGCTATGTGGACCAAAGTCCACAAACATGGAGGAGGCAGAACCAACTGGGCCTGCACAACTGGATATGGGGGAGAAGGACTCAAGGAAGCAATCAAATAAGGAGGCAATAGAGCATAACGGTTGAACAGGAGCGCTGGAATCAAGCTGTAATTCCTTTTCATCTAATTCCTGGTTTAGGCAGCTGGCATTGCCACTTCCTGAGAAAGGGAAGGCAGGAATAATTTTTTATGGGATAGAGAGAAGATGAAAAGATCTATACTGTGGACCAAATACATTTTAGGGTCACATCAATCATGGTCACATCCAATAAGCAGAGAGATATATAGTTTTGAAGTTGGGATCTGTTTGGGAATGTTAATATGCATATGGGGCTTTTATAAGAGAGAGAGAGAAAGAGAGAGAGAGAGAGAGAGAGAGAGTGTAAAAACATAAAGAGGGAGAGGAGTCTGGCTAGTGTGGCTCAGTGTTTGAGCATCAACCAGGAGGTCATAGTTCAATTCCCAGTTAGGGCACATGCCCAGGTTGTGGGCTCAATCCCCAGTCAAGCAGGAGAGAGTCAATCAATTTTCTCCCATCATTGATGTTGCTATCTCTCTTTCTCCCTTCTTCTCTGAAATCAATAAAAAAAAAAAAAATTTTTTTAAAGAGGGAGAGGACAAGGACCCTGAAGAATGAAATGTTTTTGGCATTTTTTTTTTTTTTTGTAAGCCATGCAGTGTCTTGAACATGGTAGATGATCAGTACTTATTGGCTGTTCCTAATGACCTTGATAACTGGGGGGTAGGTTGGGGTAATCTTTGCATGATCTAATATATATAAATAGGCTAAGGGTATAAACTACTTCAGATAAAAATGTAAATATTGATAATACTATATTCAGTTATTTTAAAATCTCTCTATTACTTTTTTCTTATTATAATATTGAAAGTACTCATTTTTAAATATCTATAATAAGATTATAAAAACTTATAATACAGAATATAAAAGTTTTGTTATTCCCTCTTTCAGGAAAAAAGAAGTTAAAATAGGTCTATATTGTTTCAATGTGTATGTGTTTTCCCATCAAATAACTACAAATTGTAGTTTTAAGAAATAGGGACATTCTCCATTGTTATTTAGTTTTCATGGTGACAGCATGAAAAAAACACACTCATAATTTAATCATTCTCTTCTCATGAGATGTTCATGATATAGAGACAAAGCTGATTGAAAGGAGAGAAATCAAATAACTTGCTTAGAGAGAAATTCTGAGTAGAACTAAAAATTTTAAAGCCATAAAACTCTCGTAGTTCCTACAAGATTCTAGATTATTTTTAATGACTTCCTGCTAGCCGGCTATATATGTCAAAAGTGTTTTGCGCCTGAACTTGAGGTCTCAGGAGAGCCAGAGGATAAGTGATAACCTAGAAGAAGCACAGGACCATGAGCCACAGCCCACTGGCAGGGCCAACCTGGTGGTCCAGCCGGATGAGTGGCAGCTGCCAACAACACCCCTTTCTCCACCCCCGGAAACCTCCCAGGCTGGGGTAGGAGCAAGGGTAGAAGTTCAATTCCCTGTTCCTCTCCCTCCACTTACCATAACTGCCCATTCTAAGGATGGCACTATTAGTATACACCCATTTTAATGGCAGTGATCTAAAGTGTTCCTAAAAATAAAGAGTTCTCTTCCCGCTTACTTAGAAGAATCATGTAGAAAGCATGTAAAAAAAAAAAAACTCAACTAAAACATGTAATTGAATGGATAGCAAGGTGCTTTCTGCAAGTAGCAAACGCTGATGTCTACTTCAGCTAGTGCTGGCTCGCGATATAATCCCGCTGCCTTTTTCCATTAACTTTCAAGTGACGTGATGGAAGAACCATTCTGTTCCACTCCTACTTGAAGGTAACTTACGCCTGACCCTGCAAGTCATTTTAAAACACTCTCTCTCCATATTACTGGATCATAAATAAACTTTAGAAAGTTCTGAAGGAGAGAAGAAAGAAAGAGTAAGGCTTTAATTTCTAAACTCCTACATGTGCTGATCACTTTTGGGCACTACTCCAGGTAACATGACTGCCATATAAGATTTACACCAAATAATTCAGAATATAACAAGGACAAAACTCAGAACCACTAGTACAGAGAACCATCTAAAAATAGGAGACTAGAAATACACGTCTTGGTGCTTTGATCCAGCAATAGCTCTTTTCAGAACACGATTCTAAAAAAATAATTAAGGATGTGTTGAAAAATTTTGCTGAAAAGTATTAAGCTCAACATGTTTTTTGTCACAGAAAAAAATGTAAACAACCCACATATCCACCATGCACTATTCATACAGTGAAATATGTAACCTCTTCAAATAATATGGAGAAGTTTGATATTTATTAAGAATGGAAAGATTTTCATGGTATCAGTGGTTAGTCAAAACAGCAGGTTGCAAAAGATATGAAAAGTATGATTCTTATTTCTATACACAGGTGCATGTATTTTGAAATACAATAGGTAAAATAAAAACATTTACCGTTTCTTGATTTGAGATCTCTGTGAATCACCTTGACAGGAGCTTCCATATGTAAATAGTGCATTCCTTTTTATACAGAGGGAAGAAAGGTTCATTAATACTGTTTTTCAACAACTGTATCAATATTATCTTTCTATTTTAAACATCAGCAGTAACATTCACATTTTGCAAAGGATTCAATAAAATAGAGGGAAGACAAATCTACATTAGGCCTGATAAAATAGAGACAAGATGTGTCTACGGAAGGAAGACATATGTCTTTGATCTCTTGGAAGTTGGAATTTGATTGTGGGTAAAGTTAGCTTCTTACAATACCTAATAAGGGCACCTTATTTTCTGGAGTCTGCACGAAAATAGCACAGTTACAACTGGAAGAATTGTTCCAATGACTAAGGTATTCCACTGCCTTCTAAATCGGTAAGTTCTGACCGAGGTGTTCTGTTTTCGTTTGGATGTCTCCGGTCACCCAGTTAGTTGCACCTTGGCTTATTTTCCCAGTGCTCATTCCAGTGAGACCCTGGGAGTGGAGGTGTGGCTGTGTGTGGGGTGGGGGTGAGGGTGGTAGTAGGGGTGGGGGAACTGGCTAGATTCCGCAGCTCTGGTTGCTGAATGATTTTATGATCCTCAGATAGAAAAAAATATATAGTAGCTACAAAATATTTTATCCTTCTTACAAGAATAAATCTTTGAGATAATCTATATTTATAGGCACTCCAAATTCTTCAACATGTTTAGAATATAAATCACATTACTTTAGTAAATTGGATCCACAGAAATTAAAGTTTTATTATTTTGAATAAAAAATTATACTTTGAAAGACACATATTTCACACTCACCCCTTTAGTAGTGTTCGACTCTTTTTCTTTTCTTTTCTTTTTTTGTATTTATGTATTGTCTACCCCATTAGAATAAAGATAAAGAACATTTTCTATGGAAAATTTCCCCTCCTTTTATTTCTCACTTTGTCTTTTCTAAGTAATAGAAGTAATAGCTCCTCCCCTTTCCAAACCAGACAGGCTCCTTTTTGAAATAAATTATCCATTAAACATAATAGGCTTTGGTTCTTTTTTAAATACACAGAGAAGTTCAATTTTATAAATGTTAATTGTAAAAATAATCTATCATGTTTCTACTAATCTGATTATTACATATTGAAGAATCATGAAAGAACAAAGAATATAAGAGAATTTAAATTCCTGCCATATAAAGATATTCCTGAAAAGAGTCAACTTAACAAAAAAGTATTACTGATTTAAATGATCCTAAACACAATGTAATTGGAATAAAGGAAATCTAACATGAAGTTCTGCATACTACAAACTATGAAAATTCAATAGCTACAACTTGGGTAACTTTTAACAATTTTTATGACTGTATTTCATAGTTTTCTCTCTCTCTTGCTTTAAGAATCAAATTCCTGAATTTCTGTTTTCAGGTAGAACTGGTTTAAGTATTATTAGAGGTACAAGTAGACAGTTCCTACACTTGTGACAAGTAAGGATTTCAAAAACAACAGCACTCAAGTACAAAAGCTTTAAATATTGGCACTTTTCTCCTCATGGCAGATACTATGAAAAGAAGTTGTATAAATTATTGTGTATAATACTCGCACACACAGAACATTTAGTGTTCACAAACATGGTAGTAATCATAATCATATAAAAAATTCTATTTAATTTGTTTTTATAGTGCCATCTGTAATTCTGCCTTATTTTTATTGTAAACAATTAAGAAGGCTGAAAATACCTTCATCTGTTTAAGACTCAGGGTTTCCTAAAAAAGATGTGACTGGTGTCATTTGGAAGAGATTTGGAATCAATGATGACCATTTTGAAACTGGATGCAGATTTATCTGCTTTAATTGTTCCTCTTACACAATGCTCATTGAATTGCAAAAATTTCAGATATACTTGCTGGCTTGCCCTCCTCCATTCCTCTCTCCACCCCAAAAGAAGAGAACCTTTTTGGTTTTGGAGGCATTCTCTCTGCAGTAATGGTATGGTGCCTATGTTAAAATGCATGAATCAACTCTTGCTTAAAATGAATTATTCATTCTTTGATTTTTCAGCATCTTGTTACTATAGTGCCTTCAATCTTGGTCAGACTGAAAGGTACATAGCTGAATTTGTAATGGAATAAGTGCAAATCAAGCCTTCCTATTTAATCTCCAACTTCTACATATAGCTTTATCGGAGAGATCTGAAGTCATTCCAATAGCACTGACTTCTTCTTCCTTTTATAGACCATCTTAAATAGGAAGTATGACTTGTAACTGTAAACAAACAACTGTCTTCTCTGCCTCATTCTACTGAGCGTTGGCCAAGCACATTAGAACTCAGGATTCACCAGCCACGAAAACGTGATCTTATTACTTTGTAGTTTTGGACACTGTCTCATGATCCACTCCAATTCTCTCCATCCCTTTTCTTTGCTCTAGTTCCAATTTGCTACTAAGTCCTGTTTCTTCTCCTCTTTGTCCCCTGATATAGAGTGCCAGGAGTCCTGAGAAAACCCAGGAATGACAGGTGATCTGGAGCCAAGGGACTACCCCTCAGACAGGGACTATGCAGGGGAAGGGGTCAGGAGAGACGAGGTTTACAGGATGGGAGCCAACCAAGCTTAAGTAGAGTGTGCACAGCAGGAACCAGAGTGACTGATGTCAGCTAGCTTATAGGCTGTCTGTCCACTCTAAGTGCCATCCTATATAATAAAAGGCCAGCGACAGTAACAGCATAACGACCAGAATGATGGATTAACCAGTCGCTATGAGATGCATTGACCACCTCTCGGTCCCTCTCCCCCAGCCCACAGGCTCTGATCGCTGGATGGCCAACAGGAACCATGGGGAACCTGAGTAGGTGGTGGTAGGGTGGGACTGGGGACTGTCAAGTGGGCAGAACACCAACCTCTTGGTCCCCCCCGCACTGGCCCCCAGGCTCTGATCAATTGCCAGGCCAATAGGAACGAAGTGTGTGGAGGCAGCGGGGGCAGGACTGGGAACTGGTGAGCAGGCAGAAGATGGCCCTGATTGCAGGTGAGGCCTAGAGACTCTACCCATGCACGATTTTGTGCACTGGGCCTCTAGTTAGTAATGATATAGGCTGAGCTTACCCCTAAATACAAATGTCTGTAAGGTGAAGTGCTTTAAGTCAAGGACTGCCTATATATGTACTTACATTCATGTCAGTGTATTCTCACAGTGCTTCAGGCAATTCCCAGTAATAATAACCCTGCTTATAAACAGGTGGTCCCTGGATACTACTGACATGCAGAGAAGTGACTGTGATGCTACGTGAAAATGTCTTGAAGAATGTGAAATTTTAAGGCTGATCTGAGGTGCCTGATGCATGAATACACAATTAAATTAATTAACACAGTCAAAGCCTTAAGTACACAATCCTAAACATAAAGCTTATTGTTTTTATAACTTAATGAAATATCATTTAGCAGCAGCATTTAGCATGACACTTAAAAAAAAATTTCCCCCCCACTTTCTTAATTTGAAGAATTTGGCAGGTGGTGATGAAACTTAAAACAAACAAGATAATTCCCCAAAGGAAAGGCTATTGTTACTTTTGGAAGTCACTGTAGGACTTCCGAGCTTATAGAATCTGGAGTAGCAAAACTCAAAGGAGTTAATTGTCCCAGTAATAGGTTTTCTAGAGGTTGTTAGAATACAAATATAACTATCAGTGTTCATTATTTAGATTATGTTGTTTCCAAAGCAACTTTGACAGTTATAAATAAAACTCAGAACTGTTCAGTTGGGAAAATGGAAAAAAAAGATAAAAATAAATGGAATTTAAATTGCTTCAGAAAGCATTAGTCTATGTAAGAATTTATGAGGGAAAAAGAACTGGGCACCTTGTTTAGGGATCTTGTGCATTAAAAATATATAATTTCCAAGGGTGATTTCCAAGTTTACATTAAATATGAAATAAAATCTGAATTGCTTGTACATGGCAGCACAAATCACAATTTTTTGAAAGTGGTTACTATTTTTAGTATATTACTATGTATACAAAATGAGTAGAACTAATCCTACAATAAATCATGTTTTCTGCATACTGAATCTAAGTAGAGACTTGCAGAACAATAACAGGATTATGATCTTTCCACTTAATTTGTCAAGCAAGCTCATCGATTACATTGGTAAAAACTGTGGTAAAAATGGCTGTTCTGGAGACACTGATTTTGTGGGGACTTGGTTTTAGGGAAAGAAGTAAAGTAAAAAGTGAAAAGAGAGAAAAGGAATGCATGAGTGAAAAGGCAATGACCTAAAATATTACCTATACAGTAAGTTGCAGAATTCTTGCTACTTTGGTCTGCAAGAATTCATGAAGGATTAGGATTACCTTTGGCTACATCAGTGGCCCAGGTCATAATATGTTCCATGTCCATCTCTTCACTTCTGTTACTGTTAATGTAATCATACAGTGATCCCAGAGAAGCATATTCTGTTTTTAATGGAAAGATAAGTATGTAAGTAAAAATAAGGGGCATATCATAAACATTTATATTTTCATTGGGAAGATGTATTAAAGAAGTTAACAAAAGATATCAAAAGTACATAAAAATATACTTTTCTAAAAGTGTTTTCTAAAAGTATAAAAATATACTTTTCTAAAAGTGGTTTCTAAAAGTTAGTCTTATCCTGGAAAGAAAACTGTCCAAGACAAGCACTAGCAGAATAAATAGTCAGTCATCAGCCAAGGATAAAATCAAGTCATTTAAATAGAACTCAGAAACACAAAAGTATATTGAAAGGATGTACTGGAAGCAAAGGCAGACATGTAAATAGGTATTTCTTTTAAAATGGCTATTCTTATAAGATAGATAAGACTAAACACAAGTCAGAGTTTATATGACAATGTAAATAAATCAACCTTGCTGTGCCAGAATTTAGACCAGCCCTTAAAATTTAGCACAAATGGCCAAGAAAGTGAGACACCTTTAAAAATGCCTCTGAGGTATAAATTACATACCATAAAGTTCACTCCCTCTAAGTGTACAATTTGATAATTTTCAGTAAATTTATATAGTTGAACAATCACAACTACATCCAATTTTTATAACCTTTCCATCATCCTAAACAGTTCCCTGTGCCCATTTATAGTATTTACCACTCTCATTATCTGCTTTCTCTGTGCCTTTTTCTAGATATTTCATATAATGGAGTCTACAATATAAGGGCTTTGTGTCTTTCTCTGTGTTTATAAACATTATAAACACATAATGTTCATAAGGTTCATTCATACTGTAGCACGTATCAGCACTTCATTCTTTTTTATTGCTGAGTAATATTCCATTGTATGGATTTACATTTGGTTTACTCAATAGGTATTTGTACTGTTCCCAGCTTTTGGCTATTATGAATAATGCTGCTAAGAAAATTTTCATAAATGTCTTTGTGTGGAAATATATTTTCATTTCTCTTGGGTAGATTCCTAGGAATGGAATTCTGGGTCATATAGTAAGTTTAACTTTTCTTGTAAGGCAGGATTGCTAGCAACAGATTCTTTCATTCTTTCTTTATCCAAGAATGTATTTATTTTTATTTCATGTTTAAAACATAATTTTTATGGATAGTTTTTTCTTTTAGCACTTTAAATGTTTTCTGCTTTTTTGCCTCTATTGTTGTAGATGAGAAGTTAGTCATTAATCATATTGTCATTCCCTTGTACATGAGACATTTTTTCTTGCTGCTTTCAAGAATTTTCACTTGGATTCTATCAACAGTTTGACTATGATGTTCTTTTGCCTTTATCCTACTTAGAGTTCATTCAAGTATGTAGAGGAATGCATTTTATCAAATTCGGGATTTTTTTTGGCCATTATTTCATCAAGTAGTCATCTGTTTTTTTACTTTTATACCATTCTTCTCTTCTTTCTTTGCTTTATACATTAATTGGTATACCTGATGTTGTCCCATAGGTCTTTAAGGTTCTGTTAGTTTGTCTTCAAAATTTTTATTTTTCAGATTAAATAATTTCCATTGACGTAGTTTAAAGTTCGCTGATTTTTTTCTCCTATCTCGATTATGCTAAGTCAATTCTAGAGAATTTTAAATTTCAATTATTGTCTTTTTAAACTCCAAAATTTTCACTGGGTCCTTTTAAAAACATTTCTATCTATTTGATGAGATTCCCTATTGGGTGGTTCATTGTTTTCACACTTTCCTTTAATTCTTTAAAGTCTCTTCTAGATCTCTGAAAATTGATGCTTTGACATTTTTGTATGTTGAATTCAATGTGTTAATTTAAAGAGGCAAGGTTGGTGCTATCATCTCCCAACCCATCTATTTTCTCAAACTTGGCTCAGTTAACTTCTACCCATGCACTCAGTATGGCTAGATCCTAATGCTGCAGAAGGTTGGTTGAAAAGTTCACATATTGTTTTGGTAGATACTTGTGAACAAACAATTTAAATTAGCATCTTTAAAAACAAAGATAAATTAGTACATTTAAATACATCAAAATTTGGCTAAGAGGTATCTTTAATAATCAACCTTATAGGTCAATAAAAGAGCTATAAACACACAACTTACAATTACCTCACAATTTTGAAACTTGTGTTGTTTTAAAGAAATGATTAATGTTAATATTTAATGTTACTTACTAGCCTTACAGGTAAACAAGTATAGATCTAAAAAGAACTAGTCACTGATAACCAAAGATTTTGGGTAGGAATAGGTATAAATTCACATCATGACCCAAGTCTTTTTTCCCTTTCTACTTTTCATCCTCATCTCAAAAGAAACTATAAAACTTCCTGAGTAGTCCACTGAGTTAAAAATCTTATCCTTAAAAGCACTAAGCATGGGGCACAAGACAAAAGCAGAGTTTCTAACCTCTTTGGAGTATCATACTATCATCTATTAGATAAGAATAATTTAAGCTACATCTGAGGATTAGAAAACTGGGTTCAGATTTACAAGGTAAACATAACCTGTAAAAAGTAAATACAATAGACTAGGAAACAAAGAGCAATATGAGAACTGGGTCAGACACAGGGTTTAGTTTTAAATTAGAAGTCTGATCTACAAGGTTAAACATGGCTAAGACACTATCAGTATAACCCTTTATTGGGTATTCAAGTTAATAGGAAAAAAAATAAACTCAAGATAAAAACTGCCACATACCTCATTTTAGGCACAGATCTAAAGATACCTAATTGGGGAAAAAATACCCACTATTTCAGGTAAAAATACCACTTATCAGAGTAAAAGCATGTTAAAATGCCTGCTATCAAAGATGGAAATAACAGCAGTTTAAGAACCAGTGTAACCACAGCTTGCTCACAAGAAGAGGAATTCCTGTACAAGATCAATCTGAGAAATTTCTACTACTCTGATTCTACCACTAATGGTGACCTTGGGAAAGTTACTAAAGTTAGAATTTTAGGCTCTTATTTGAAAAACAAAATTATTTTACCCATCTCATAAGGTTATTTTAAGTATCAGATGAAATAATGTATAAGAACGTACCTATTCCAATCCATTCTATTGAGTGTGATTAGTTGTTATTTTCTATAAAGACAATCCAAGTTCTTATCAATAGAGTAGAAGAAGATAGAGCTAATCTTTCAAGGCAAAGGACTGCCATGATGAACTGCCTGATCAAAGTTATTTACTGTAAAATCGAACATTATACTTATTATATACCTAAAGCTGCTGACTGGATTGTACAAGCATGAATATAAAGTATCTAAAACATATGTCTGTGTGTTTTTTTATGGCAAAATTTTCTGTGTGCTCCTTTTTGGAAAGGACATTTCCATCAGTTATAAACTGCTGTTCCAAATTATGTGATAATTTAGATCAAGGTCATTACCAACCCAGATGACCAAACCTGAAAAATATTGTTCTCATGTCAGAGACCTTGAAGAAAGAATGCTCTAATGGGATTAAAACGTCTTGCAAGGAATTATAACATGAATAGCTCAAGAAATCTTAATTTGTAAAAGGTCACAGTTACAAAAAACATCGCTCATTTCAACTAATTAAATGAAATTTTAGTTAAACGGCACCTTTAAATATTGGTATTGCAGCTGCAAGTGCATTTAAATAGCATTTACACAGATATAATTAGCACAATTAAACATGGGTAGAAGTGGAAACACCATTCTTAATTATATTGATATAATCAGTTTTATTAATGCTTTATAGCAACAAAGGTGACATCTGATAGTAGCACACAATTCATGACTGAACCTAATATTAAACATTTTAGCATATTAAGGTATCTAAAGCTAGATAATTGGGGAAGGAAAATCAAATAATGAGTTCCTACCTGTGACGATTCCATAGTTGGGAGGTTCAAGAACTACTCCATAAAACTGGATGATGTTTCTGTGACTGAGGACACTGAGTATTTCTGCCTGTATAAAAATAAAAAATAAAATTTCACATTTACAAAAGTCTAAGGAAATAGGTTCCCTATTTAATTTTCTTTTACATACATTAACAAGTTTATATATATATATATATATATATATATATATATATATATATACTCAATAAGTGAATATTGCTGATAAAACTCTTGCTGTTAGCAGCATTCTTGAAAGTTTAAGAATTTCTATTGAAACTTTATGAAAATTTAAAGCTGAAATGGGGTTGAAGTGGCAACAAAAGAGAAGCCAACTCGCAAGCCAGCATAACTGACTGTGAAGGAGGATGACCAAAGAGGGAGGTACCATATTTATTTGAACTTGGAAGTCCTCTTTCTAATAGTTAAATATATCTCTTCTGCATAATGTCTCTTCTCAGAGGCTGCAGCAAGATTGAACTTCTACCAGTTGTATGAGAGGCCATGATAACATTAAGGTAGAGGTTTTTAACTATTAATGGAACAGATACAAGTAATATCTATTTATATTATTTATCTAATCATTCATTAAAAGTCTTATTTCTGGCCCTGGTTGGGTAGCTCAGTTGGATAGAGAGTTGTCTTCATATGCCAAGGTTGCGGGTTTGCATCAACCAATGAATGCATAAAAACAAGTGGAACAACAAATTGATGTGTGTGTGTGTATGTCCCTTCCATTCTCGCTAAAATCAATAAAAAGTCTTAAAAATATTGTTTCTCTCCTACTGTATGCAAAAGGCACTATAAAGGCTAGAAAGGTGGATTATTGACTTATAGCTCTTACTTGATAGGGAAGCCATACTTTACACTTTAAAATGTATTAAATACTAGAAAACTACTGTGGAATGATGTGGTAAAAAATAAATTACATTTATTAAGCTTAATTTCTGAAGTGAAAAAAAAAAGAGATAGTACATTTATATCTGGTGTGTGTGGTACTTAAAACACCATTCCCTGATCTCTGATGTCCTCACTGACACCAAGGTTCAATGCTTCCATGAGAATATGAGAGCAAAAGACAGAAAAGCGGCTCATCCAGTCATTCAGAGGAAGCAGCCTCTGAATACTGCACTGTATTCAAGATCAAAAGCTCTCTCCAAAGACAGCAAGGTCTCTAAAATGTCAATATGATCCCATATTTTGCAAAAATAAAAATTATACATATGGAAGAGAGACCGGGAAGAAATTAAACAAAATATTAATTGTGGATATCACTAGGTAGCAGAAAGATCCTAAGTGATTTTAAAGGTTTGTATATTTTCAAATTCTTTATAATAAGCCTAAATAATTTTAAAATTATTAGAACAAGTAACACATGATTGTTATAGGTACTATGTATGACTAGAACATCAATATATATAAAAGGCTAACAAGCAAGTTGTCCCCTTGGAAGTTCAACAGGGAGACCAGGAGTTCAATCACTTGCTATGATGTGTGATGACCACAAGGGGGCGGCACGGAACAAACTAAGGCCCCAGCTAGCAACCAGAAGGAAGGCCTCAGCTAACAGCCAGAAGGCCCTGATCTCCGGCCAGGCCTACACACCCTACTCATGCACCAATTTTGTGCATCAGGCCTCTAGTATAAATATAAAAATATTTATTTGCAAGGAAATTCTGATTTTCCTAGGAGAGAATTAGGAAGAATAGAAACTCTTGCCTTACATTCACAGGACTCTTCTAGGCATATAAAAACTAGTTTAGTGAGTCTCTGAGCTGTGAGTTTCTCCTGACATGGCTCTGAAACAAGAGCTGGGTTATTCTCGGGAAAGTTCTCAGGGGGCCTGAGATCAAAGATGCAGGCGCTGGAAACTGAGTATACTCTGGATTAAGCTCAGCTTGCTCAGTGTCTGGATCAGTGTTTTAGTAAATAATGTTCCTCTCCCTCCTTACATTTGCTTCTATGCCTGTTCCCTTTATGGAAGCATTTCTTACTTTGCTGATCTTGCAGAATGTCTAGTGTAATACCACAAGAGAGAGAAAGGTCAGGGGATTTCTTTACCCAAAACATACAATACTATTTAAGGATAAATGAACAAATCATATTTGATGATAATGATATTTAGTGTGTTTAAATAATTGCTATAAGGCACCCATATGAGCAAATGTTTACTCTGAACAGTACAGTGAGAAGAATGAAATGCTGGTGGGCATAGATCTGCGCCAGCATTTATTCTGTTCTTCTATTACTAAGGCTATGATCTCATAAGTATGACAGTCGATCAATTAGATAACCACAGTAGAAGCTACATTTGAAATTTGCATTTACCAGCTCACTGCTGATTTAAACTTTCAGAATGAAGACCTTGCCTGTTGCAGGGTCTGCAGCCCATGGCAATTAAATGAGCAGTTTCTTGACAGCCTTTCCCTGTTTTGGTTATACTCCAAGCATGCCCTTGCCTTAACATTGTGCTTTTTCAGAGTCGGAATACAGAGGATTGCTCAGGCTTAATCCTTCCATTTCCAGTTTTCTACCCAATACATTTGCACATTTATTTCCAAAACCACCTCTGCAGGTAAGCCAGCCTTTTGCCAAGTACACAGTTTCCCACCCACAGTGGCAATTGCTCCTCTACCACGCACTGAGAAGGGAGCCCTAATTCTCAGGAGCGGGGCTACATTTCAAGCAGGTTCCCTGCTGCAGAGTGAATGTGTTCCTCTGAAATTGGTATGTTGAAACCTAACCCCAATGTGATCAGGTCTTTGGGAGGTGAGCGTCATGTGGGTGGAGCCCCTATGAATGGATTAGTGCCCTTATAAAAAAACCCTAGGATTGTTCTCTCACCCCTTCCACCACACGAGGAAACAGCAAGGAGACAGCTATCTCTGGACCAGGAAGCAGGTTCTAATCAGAAACCAAATCTGCTAATGCCTTGATCTCAGACTTCCCAGCCTCCAGAACTGTGGGGAGTAATGTTTGTTGTCTATATGCCTCCGTCTTCAGTCTTCTGTTAGAGTAGTCCAAATGAACTAAGACAGTCTTCTTCAGAGGATGAGGCTGGCATAAAAGTCCACAGCTACTGAACTAGGCCTCTCATGAACAGAACGGGTTAAAAAGACAATGCCACTGTACTTCTCAGGACAGCATACCCCTTATCTTCGTCACCACAGAGCCCAGAGCTATTGCACATAGCGGGATATCAGGGACAAGGGAACTTCTTGATTTAAGGACTCCTAAAACAGTGTTTCAAGTCTATAAGACCAAAACACCTAGCTCTTCTTACAGGCAGGACGCGGGTAGAACTTCCCCTCCTTTCTGTTTTAGGCTCTGATTATAAAGATAACTGAGGCTGAATGCTCAGTCTGAGGAATTAAAATATTTATATGCATCAGGATAAAAAACAACAACACAATGCTGTTTAATTAATTGCATTTTCACCCCAAGCGTATCATGGAAAGGGCATTTTCCTAAAAGAAAAACTTGATTCTTATACGCATGGCAAGATGGAAAACCAGGCCCTCTCCTAAAAATGCAGCATCCAGGCACAACTTAAAAAGTAGGCTTGACTTTCAATCCTGTATTTAATCATCAGAGTGTCATGCACAGGTCATGCTCTTTGAGGCGCTTTAGGCTTAATGAGACCCATTCACTCACACAGTCACATGACAAGCAGCAAACCTCACAGTTCTGTAGGTTCTCTTTCAAAAGCTGCCCTGTAGGTATTCAGGGAAATAAAGAAGGACAAATGAAGCGAATTCAGGTTCTATAATTTGAAACAGCCTATATTCCTAATGATGTTTCATGTCACGAAAACTTTCCTCTGGAAGGAAAATGGCTAGAAATACCGAGAAAAATATAAGCCCGTCATTCTGTGCACTCCCGGGGACCAGCTGAGCGGAGCCCTGTGGGATTTATTAGGAACATCCCCACTGCTGGGAGGCCTATTGCTCAGTGGTTTTCCTGGCGGGCTGCCGCAGACTCGCCGCATGTGGCCACTCGGAGGGCAGCCTGGGCTCCCCCCCCAGGAACCGGGCTCCTGCCTAGTTAAGTGCACACCCAATTCAGGGCAGGCTAACCTGGCAGGATGGGAGGGTGGCTCAAACGGAAATGAAACAAATAGCAAAGATTTCAGAACAGGGATTGGAGAGCTATTTCCAATTCATCAAAAGACTAAGAGATTTTACAGCCCACAACGAAATGTCACTGTGATTGTAGGAAAAAGTCAAATAGGTTGTAAACAACTTGTATTTAGTTTTGGGTGACAGAAGCATATACCAAACTCCAGATTTCCACTAAACAACTTAGGTCATTTGGTTAAAGAAGTAACTAGGTGCCAAAATTACATGGAAAAATCCCCCTAAAGGGAGCCTATAAATCAGTCCCACAGTATGAACTAATGAAGGAATAAGCTTCTGAAAAACTGAATAACAATATAATTTCATTAAATACTGACTACATGAGTGGAAATTTAAATTCTCGTTCCAAAATAGATGGCCCTGAAGCCACCTGGTCACCTGGACCTTGTTTTCCAGGTAAATGACTTGGTTGGACAAATTATTTTCGAGACTCTTTTATGCTTTTAAATTTCTATGCATTTCTGTAAAATAAACTAAAAAGTATTATTAACAGTTCTTTTCACAGAGTGGGTACCCAATAAATATTTGGTAAGCTGAACTGAGGTAATTAATCATGATGTATCAGGACATTCTCTGGAGTCAAACAGGCTGGAACGTGAGGCTGGCTCTGTCATTACACAAGCGAGCGGACTTTGAGGAAGTTACTGAACCTCTCAGGGCCTCCGGCTCTTCATTTGTAAAATGGGGACAGCAACCCTAGCCCAGTGTCCAGCAAATGCCAGGTGCTCCACTCATGCTAATCCCTTTCTCTGCCAGCTGACGCTTCCTTTAGAGTCAGCATATCATTTCCAGCGAGGTCAAGCTTATGGGCAGATCCAGATCTCTCCCAACAGTGGATTCCACCTTCATTTTCATTAGCTTTGTGTAGTTGTTATATTCAACCTTCCGTGTTTACCCATGTTTTTACCCTCAATACATCACTTCAGCATGCCAA